ATCGGTTCTCCAAGACTACAAGTATGCCTTTGCTAATGAGTAACAAATACTATGAAACTTCAGTTCAGGATATTCTAATGACTACTTTCAACAACCTAACTTAAAATTGGAATTCATAAATATTTTGTCTAAAGATATTTAATTATAAGGAATAGCTTATTAAAAAAATTATTTTTCAGTCTATAAAAAGCGTTTCTAAAATGAGATATCTTGAATTGAAACTACTGAGTGATATTCGATTCATGGTAATTTTCGTTTGTTTCAGTAATATGTCCTATCATGTATATATGTATCTTAATTAGATTTACATACAATGCATTATTCTGAAAATATTTTGATCTTTACATCATTATAACAACTAGTCACCAATTTCTGTCACATGATATCACAATCAGTGCAAATTATGGAGCCTAATCTTCAGATAATTGTTTCATTCATCATTTAGTGTCATCAAATAAAACAATAAACCTATTTTTTGCTTATTAGAATGCACTGAAAGTATGTATATTCTCTTACTATTAATAACAGTAACTGAAGTTGAATTATAATCTGTAAGCTTCAATCAAAAATAATTAACAGAACAATTTTTTAATTAATTCTTTGTGACTATTTCTTGTCATAAACTAATATCGATTACGGAACGATTGATAACAGTGGGTTGACGATTAACTATTTCAATCTAACCTGAACTCCTTCATTACTTATCAAGTTCAGCCGTGTCAAGTGTACACCAACCACTCCTAGTGACTTTGTACAATAGTTGCACTATGTTGTGGATTGGCTAAAGTTAGAATTGGGAACCTTTGAATTACATCTCACTTGTCTGAATTTCGAATGCTCGCCGTGACGTCCAACAGTTCTAGGTTAGGTCCCATGTAGGAGTGTGGATACCCACTGTGGAAGAGTTACAAACTAGAATGAAACATCTGTCTAATGCTCCTTGGTTTCCTTTGTTTTACTTGTCAACGTTATTGCAAGAAGGAAGTCAACATTAAAAAGTTTCGCTAGTAATAAAATTGCTTGTCATTAATAATACGGTATTTTATAAGTAGATGTGACTTAAACTTAATTAGCATACTGATTTCTACAAATAATAATAATTGCTAACTATAGAAGAAAGATTTATTATTTATTTAACTTCTGTAACTTAACTTTACTCTGATCATAATAAAGTAATTTAGGTCGTGATTAGTGTATTAAGTGTAAACGATTTTCTACCTCTCGATCGATCAAGTTTTTGGTGACACCCAAAGACTGAAGCACGACAGAGTTCTTCCATGAAGTTCTACTCCCTGAAGTAGTTAGCGATATTTTCATGTACATTTGATTGTCATCTGACAGCTTGTCTTCTTTTATGTACTTTGTTTCTATAACTAATATTTATTGGTCGAACATGCCATCATCTTAACATATACACTTTTGTCTATGAACTTTATCATTGAGTCATTGTAACCTCTATTATATATCAGATACATATAAATTATGGCAATTTTCCGATCATTTTTATTTCTTTTTGGATTTGACAACCTACTACCTGTTCGTTGTAGACATTTTTTATTTAGAAAAAATATACCAGTAAAATATGTTCACATCCTACAATTACTTTTTTAAAAATAAGGATTCTGGCATCGTTGATTTCATTCTTAGTGCTCATCAATTACCCTATTACTCTCATGAAAAACTTACAAAGTCAAAAATAGCTTGATTTCTCTCAAGCGTACTTTCTTTAACAAAGTTGTATCTTTCATCTATGCATATAATAATTTCCTAACAAATCACAACTGATTACATCATACTATTAAAACTAATTATTAAAAGCTTAAAAACTGGTCAAAGCAAGTTTTATCATTAATTCAGCACAGATATATTAGCTTAAGGCTACTCAACTCTTTGACATGTTGTAATTTCATTTTTCACATAAAATAAAATTTTTGACAAGAAATGTATAGATTAACTAAACTAGAAAATGGATCTAATGATATGTTGTTATAATATGTGTTAAATGTCCTGATGAATAATAAATCTAATATAATTTCAATAGTTGAGATCGTGGGTCAGTTGAAGCTAGACCACTATGAAAAACTAATGTAATAATATTTAATATAACCTTATCTTGGTTCATTTTTAATTCTTTTCCTGGAAATTTTTCCCTATGGCAATCAGAGTTAAAATAAAATTTGACTTTTAGTTCATATCAATAGGCGGATAAATTTTTCAAATATTCTAGTTAACTAACTCACAGCTGAAAAAATGAAAAGTAATATCTTATTAAGGTTTTGTTTTTGTCAAATTATTAACTAAACCAAGTGATTAGTTAATGTTAAGCAATATCATGTTGTTCAGTTTTCATTGCTGACTGAATTCTTTTATCTGCTAAGTTTCAGTCCAGTGATTAGATCATATGATCTAATACTGAGATACACCGTGTTTCAAGTTAGATTGTTGAAAATAGCTAGTAGTAATTCCTTATATCTTTAACGGCGAAAATAAGTGATACATGTTAGAATTTATCAGGAAATGTCAATTACTTCAAGAATGTTGGTAACTTTCAACGAATAGGAATCTTAGATCCGTTGCTTCTTGATGATCTCCTCCGACTAACTAACATAATTTAAACAAGATTTCAAAGATGGTAATGTAGTCCTAATGGGGTATATTTTTACAATTAAAAACTTTCCTAACTGTGGGAAAGCTTGATTTCAAGTAGGATGCAATATACAATCTCTGATAAACACAGAGATATTATCATAATCGAATGAGTAACATTCCCGTTGTTGACATTTAGTTCTTTGGTGTGGATTACAGTAAACTTCTCACTGACAATATTTTTGGGACCGTAGAACGTTGAGTTGCAGAGCGCAGCCTAGTTGGTTAACAACAGCTTGTTTGTAGCAAGAATTCAATCTACTGAGTTCTATCCCAAAGGTAATATTACCAAAATAGAAACATACGATACCTTAAGGAAATCATGTGCATGACGAGAAAAGATATTTGTGCAACACACCACCTAATCATTACTTCATCACCCTGTTAGTTAGTATCAAATTCCTTATAATGACATTTTCTACTTCAGTCTCAATATTGCTACATTTGATTATAATGACCTACATAATAACTACTGGTTCTGAAAAAGTAGTGTGGCATTTATTACGGTAATAAGCTGTTATTTGCAAACGTCTACCCCCTCCCCTAACGCACGTTGAAAAAACGAAAATACTAGCGTTCACTTAATCTTTATTTTTAATTATATGATCAGACTAAAAAATTTAACCGGACACCTATACACGTAGAAATCTTATTTAGCGAATATACATTCTGTGTAAATACTTTGTTTCTTCCAGAAATAGTACTCAGAATTTTGTTATTATTCGGTCAATAGAAAAGTTAACCTATAACACATTTCCCAATTAGTATATTCACCTCAGTTAAATGATGTATACGAGTTGTGATAATAAGACCTACCTTTATACTAATTTATTCTTAATAGCAGAAAAAATTTGACAGTGTGTTTAAAAATTCCCTGTCTCCAAGTACGAGAATGAAAAAAACCTGAAATAGCTGGCAGTGTGATCGGCTGTTCAAAATATCATCCATTTATCGATGAGCTATCCACTCAAAAAGTTTAAATATCGTGAAGGTTTGATTACCAAGAGCTGAGAAGTACAATCACTTGAGAATAATGATAAGCATAATACTTGTTAAACAAACATGTAGCTAGATTTACCTAGTAGCCTAGTGAATAATATTCCTACATTAGAAACGATAATTACTGTATCTAGCTGATTGCTAGCCACTATCCAAAGTCTTATCGCGTGTGAACATTGATTGAAGCAATAGAAATGTCTGTTCATTAAAGCTGACAATTTGTAAACAATATTCTCCGTCGACATACCATTATTAGTTTCCTTAATTCATGTTCCAGATGGATTAGTATTCCAGGATATTTCTTGTCATAAAATAAAATCGATCGAATACCTTTGCATTCATTTTACAGTTTTCAGAAGTAATTATTTTCATCATACAAATAGCAATCCTAAAAAATTTGTTCACAACAGACCATGACTTATCAAACTGATCACATCAAAATTAAGAAATGTCGAATCACAAAAATGAATAAAGATCACATAAAACATAGCCATCCGCATTTCCACCAAATCCCAAGGTGAATTCAAATCAGTGATTAAGTTTGATTTGATATCCTAAGGTTCTAGTAAGAACCTCTGAGTTTAATCCTAACTACAACTCCCTACAATGGACAGTAGATACCTTATATTATAATACGAATTCAGTTAAAGAATGTTAACAGTAATCTAGTAATGACGTAATCGTCATGAAGCTAAAAGGTTCTAGATTTCATCATTTTTTTGTGCCAAATTAAATTCTAGTTTATTAAATTGTTGTACAATAATACTAGCTCCTGGCAACGTAGAAAATTATAATTAGGACATTCAATTTTCCCAACAAGCAGTTTACCATTTATCCAGTATAATTACTATGTTTGAACTGATGAAATACACTTTTTACATTATATATTAATGGAAATCTCCTAATTACATGGCTCTGTTAGTCCTAGATATATAAATTCTTTATGAGTGAATATTTAGGAGCAACTTAGGACTTTCAATGGACAACTTAAATGTGGATAGTTGAACATATGCTTTATAGAGGAGTTATATTCAAATCTTTATACATTACAAAATCTTCATTGTAATAATTTAAGTTGATACTCAAATCGACAGCATTTTAACCACCCATAATTCATAATACAACTGTTAGAGTTGCTGATCGTTGATCCATCTATTTCACTTATTACTTCTCACATAAAAATTCACAACCTATTATTTCTCAACCAAATATCTCTGCGCAGTGCTGCAATAGTTTAATTCTAAAATACACTGTCCGTCAGTTTTTGACGAAATATGAAACGAAATTTAGTCAACTGAAATATCTACATCTGATAGTTATATCATCAGCAGCAGCAGCATCACGCTGAGGCAACATTAATGAGATTAGATGTATTTAAACGAACACATTTTAAAGCAGAAAATAGTCTCATGTTTTTTATACAAACAATGAATAGGGGAAAGGTAATCTATACAGTAATGGAAAAAGAAATTTTTATAAAAATGTACAAATACTCAATATTCACATAAATAAGGTTAAACTGAAAAGGATGAAAAAGCAAGAGAAACCAATACAAATAAGTAGAAGTATTCTATAAACAAATGCGATTATAAACTGGGGCATATGATACATATATGAATTATCATATTCAAATGAATAATAAACTAGTCTAATTTGTCTGGAGATTCTAGTAAATAAAAGGTGAATAAACAAGTGAACAAAACTGTTATGTAATAACAATAGTAATAATAATACTCATGAACTTTATAATCTCTGATATGGGACAATGACTGAATCAACAAAATTTAAGCATCAAAAATTAAAAGGAATAATCTATTTTTATGTAGATATCTATAAATTTATGTTTTGTGGTATACGTTTATGTTTATACGTCCAATTAATTAAAGTATCACAGAAAGGGGGGAGAGATTCCAAGTATACATTCACTTTGAATGATCTGAGGGTTGAATGAGCAATCAACGCCAAAAATACACATTGAAACAATGAAAAGAATCATCTTTATGTATAGACTGTTGTTTGCTCTTATACAATGAAATAGAAATTACAAAGTGAAAAAAGGAATTCAACTGAAATATTCTGTGAACTCAAATACAAAAGAAAAATGTAAATCAATGATATTCTGTTTATCTGCAGTTTCACCAATAATGCTGGTTAGTAATAATGAGAATAATAATTAGGCATTAAATAATATAACTTTTTCAGTTACTCTTGAGGAAGGCATGACACATCTATCGCCATTATTAATAGAAGTAGTACCATTAGAGGTAGTATTTGTTGAGTTCCGTTTACAATTAACAATGATAGTTCGTTCACATTCACTTTTCTTAATTTGTTGATGTTGCTGTAATTCCTCCATTTCAGCAATGGATCCGTACACCCAATCGATGAATTGACGACGACAAGCTTCAGATGGCATACTTAAACTAATTACAGGGCCATTAGAATTACACAGTTGAACTCCGTATCGATAATCTGATTGTATCAATAATAATAATAATAATAATAAATGAGATGGACAAGCATTCGATAAAATTTAATGAATATGCAAATTTATATCAAATAATGTGCATACTTTCGAGTATTATACTAATAATTCCGTTTATCAATGGTAGTTCAAATTAATAGCTGGTGAATTATAGTTGAGATACATAGTTGTTGCTTAGACCAACTGCATCTCTAAATAAGAATAACGGTAGTAAGAATTTTGACACTTTAAAATGATACATAAACCGGTGAAATGTCACCGGAATTTTATTGGTATCAGAAGATGTGAAATTCAACATCCGAATATCACGTCATCCATTCTTTTATCTTAAACACAGTTTCGCAACGGGGGGAAATACATGGGGTTTAGATTCGGAGTTAATTTTCACATATATGACCTTTCCCTGTTAATTTATTTCATTTCCTTATAAATAAACATGATTTTCTTCTACCCCCACCTACCACAGAAAGTGGAACGTTTTTTCCGGCATTCTTTACCCCAATGATTATAAATATATTTCCAATATTATCATTGTAACAAATATTTTTATAAACACTCTATTGTAAGAACTTAGCAGGGAGTCTTTTAAGGCAGAGAAACATTGTTTGCAGTATTTTGCAACTTAATTTGCGTGCATAACCAATAATTAGGTTGAGAGGGGGGACTGAAGCTTGTGACAAGCAGGGAATATGACGAAATCGAAACAAATATATTTAAGGAAACATGCTATCAAACCAAATGTGCCTTCACAAACTCGCACGCAATTCGCTTTACCAGGCCTATAATAAGTTTGTCAGGGTGAATTATTAACAGATAACAATTCTCCGTAAGCTCTTACGTATATAGCTTAATAGTATCGTCTGGTACTAATCACCTTAGTTCAAGCACCAAAGCATCTATGATCATAATTTCTTTAATCTATACAAGATATTGAAGTTCGCTCGATCAAGATAACCATAGGTATCACCGGAGACGGGTTACATAAAAGCACTCTGAAAAATGAATGTGTGATCCTTTGTGACCGTCATTTAATATGCAATCATTATTCGATTGTTTTCCTGTAGTCATGATTTGTCCTATAAAACTTCTGTAACTTATTAAGCTCACAAATCCTATTACTTTGATATATTATGCAACACAGTATATATTCTAAAGTCATTTTAAACTAGCATTATATCATCACATTATGTTGGAATTATCGGATCAATTACGTAAATAATAAAGCATACTTACAATTCGATTCAAAGACCAACACTCGAAGATCAAGGAATGGATAAACACTTCGAACTTGAAAAGTTGTATCACCAGGAAATGGTTCAGTTGAACAGAACACCTTTTGTGTTACATCTTGAACCGGGCCGAAAGGACTACAACTACCGTCATCTCTAGATACGGAATTCTTTGGTGTATAATGACGAGTAGCATTTTGGTCTCCGAAAGCAACTGCTGCGACAGAATTTATAAGGGAACCAGACCGCAAACGGGTTGTATTCAACGATTTAACAACCACCAATATATCGTTAAATATTAACACGTGGCGCCATCGAGCATTATTTCTACCCGGTAATTTTCGGGGAGCAATTTTTTCAATTTCTTGGGTCAGAATCCTGCCAATGAAACGACGATGTCGTTGCACAAAGTTGTCTGTTTTCAAAGGACCAACCAAAACTCCATCCAAAGCACGAAGTTTATCTGATGGATCTGGTAGTGTCTTAAACTCGGAAGCAGCTATACGATCATAAATACCTTCCAGTAAATCTGCAGACACATCATGATCAGAATCAATTCCACGATTATTGTTAATAAAGCCTTGTTTAGTCATCCGTTTGCCCAATTTTCCAACATTAGGATTATGAAGATCTGTGTGTAACAAAAGCACTGAATAAGCTAAGACTTCCACTGTTTCAGGACTATGAAAATTTTTTCGGACACGATCTGAATTTTGAATAATATATACTTCATGAAATATTCGCATTAGATGAGCAATTTTTTGAGATTCACCCTGAAACAAAAAATATAGAATTGTTAAGAACGGTACAATCGCCGAAATCTATAAAAGATCAACTATGTTTACTGAATTTCATTGATATCACGAACCGATCTAAGTTAGACCACTATTGGAAGACTGAAAACACTTGACGAATGTTTCGTCCCAGCGTCGGACTCCTCACTGACATCTGCATCCAGAAGTCGGACACAAGAACTTCGAACTGAAGACCAACTTCCGTCAAACCAACCGATTTAGTGAAATCAAACAATCTCCACAACCACACACAATCCGTTTAATAAATTGGATGACTAGTATAAAAACGATAACTGATAAACTTCAGAATAATGTTAAATTAAAACTAATCACTGATTACTCAATACTTATTAAAATTTATGAAGACTTACTGAAGGATGAAAATGTCCGATAACTGAACGCAAGGCAACATCCACCTCCATATTCTTCATATTGATCAGCAATAAGAATTCCCTGTGAAAATTAATTAATTAAAAATGTTATTAAACCAGGTGGAATTCTGAAATGAAAGTTAAAATTGCAAAAGTTCTACACACATAATACAAGCGAAGCCATTCATACTGACTATTATTGTTAAAACTCACTTTAAAACTTTCGTTGCCAATGTGTTATCAAGTAGACCAAAGTACTCTCCAATAGCTTGGCGATTGAGATTTGGTTCATGGAATAAGAATTGAGCAATTTTAGTGGGATCAGACAATAAAATATAATTTCTAATAAGGTAATTGAGTCCTTCGACTGGGTTCCTGTGTTTAATAAAAAAAATTATTTTAAGAAATAACATTTGAAACAAATGTAAGAAATTATATATATATATATATATATATATATATATATATATATATATATATATATATATATATATATATATATATATAACGAAGATCTGTGAACGTTTTAACTGTAATATAGTTGTTTTACCTGTAATGCAACGATAGAGATCCGAAGGTAGGGATCTCTGTTGTGCTTTAGAACTCATAATATGATGCATGTGTATCACCTGATAAAGTTGTCTAAGATTTGTGCACACAGCCATGCACACTGTGACCCTATTGCGAACTCCTCATGGACTGCCAATGACCTAGAGTCCGTGAGAAACAGGAGGGTAATAACCGGGTTGGCAACTCTGTCGCATAAAAATGGGGCTACATTACTGATAAAATATACTATTTAATAAAGTTACTCACCTATTAAATAAAGTGCAACCTGCCAATAAAGTACGTTTATTATTCGCTCGTTTCATAGACTGACGTAAAGTAGTTGCCCAACTTGCTGATGATGATCCTACTAGATTTCTATGTCCCCTTAAATCTCCACTTTGAGTTTCCACATCTGCACCTTGAAATGTAGTACTTAGCTGTGATGAAAGACCTGAATCTTGATCACTTGACTTATTCAATTCTGAATACATATTCGTCATCGAGGATCGTGTGGTTGATTTGTAGATCACAGGTCCTGAGGAAGTAGAATAAAGAAATTCTGAAGGAATAGGTAGTCTGTGCCGACGTTTCATTGTCGGAGTATAGAATGTACTTATCAGGGACTTGTGAGATCCAGTACTCTTGCCAACAGATTGACTCATGCTCGTGAAATCCGAAACAATCGAACTGATACTTGAATAAGTACTGTTTTGATTTTGAGAACATGGACCATCGATACCAGTAGGTGGGATGATAAACCAAGGTTCATCTGCTTCACTCATACATTTTTCAGAACCAAAGGCGTTTTTATGAACAGATTTAGTTTCATTGATTTTAAAATCTTCTACATTGTTACTCTTCAAAACAATAACTTTCTCATTAGTTTCATCTCCAGAATCACGATGGTTACAGTTACTTGTATGATCAACACCATGTGATAGAAAGTTCCCGGGTGTCTTACTTTCCTGAGATTTCGATGTTCTAAAACCAGTGAAAATAGAGTAAGCATGAATGATTTTGAACACTTAAATTAATCGATCGACCAAAAAACAGTTGTATTGGAATTTTGTTAGGTTATGAGCAATATTTTCTGGATCATAGGGGATGAAAGACAAAAAGTATTAACAAAGACTCCATATGTTTTCAATATGGATTCTAGTTTATGGGAGAAATTTTACACCAGCTGCTCAAATACTTGAGTTGTCTGAGTCATTCATTTAGGCTTTGTCCGTTAAATCTACCATGCGTATGTGCGTGTGTGAGAGGATAAAATTATGCACGTGGAAATCTATTTATATATCATGCCCATATAAAACACATATGGTCATCTCTCCCTCCACCCTAAATGTCTCTATTTTCATCCAAACTGTCTGACCCTCTGATCGGGAAACAGGGTGGTGGGGTGAAAGATATATTCATCGTTATGAATACTTAATCTTGTGAGGCATACCACCTTTCACAAAGATCTTGTATACACGTGTACGCAGAAACGATTTTTAGTTTTTTATCATCGAAATTCCCATATAACGTAGGTAGTTTATTTCGGATCTGAGCTTTTTATATCTGATCCACTTATGCCTCAGCTCAGACACAGCTATAAATGAGTCATGAAATTTGTGTCACACTCACGACCTTGAAGTTTTTGTACCAATAAAGCTCAGCGGATAGGAAAAGTAAGAGAGGTAGTTTCAAAAAAGAAATTGCGAAAAGAATAGAATTATCCTATCATTTAAATACTTAAATGTAAAATTTAACTTTAAAGGGAGCTGAATAGTTGATATCCTTTGTATTGAAAATTTCTACTAGCGAATTATCAGGAGAACGAAAGTTTAAATACAAAAATAGTCAGTTGATAAGATGGCTGACACATAATGCACACTATACATCTATTTAAATTAAACTTGGTTAAAGTTTCAGACTAAAGTAGAAAAATTCCTCAAGAAATTCTTTACAAAATAAGAGAGCAACAGAGAGGTCATTAACGCGTGAATCTAGATTGACTTAGTTATACCACATCAAATTATTTAAAAGTAAATTATCATAGAAATCTATCATTCTGTTTTGGCCTAACACACAAACGAAATAAAAAAACTCAAGTTGAATTAACTAGTTAGCACTAACCGAATATCAGAAATATAAAGAGATAACTCACATAGTAGGATGATTTGAAATACATCTATGTCTCAATAGACTGCGACGGGATTTAAAAACTTTAGCATAAGGTGTAATTGTCTGCTGGGTAATTTGATTATACAAACATTCTGGTTGCGTTTTTTCAGGTACTGATGACCTGTTAGTGATAACTGGTGCTGTACAATCAGTTGTTAGGGATCTATGAGGTAATGATCTTCGTGGATGTTTAACATTCTTTTCGAACCATCTTGTAAGACTGCTTTTACGTTTAGTACAAGTGGTTGTTTGATTTGATTCAATTACGTTAGATAAATCTGACAAAACTGTAATTCTTTTGTCAACTTGTTCAGTATTCGTATCAACCATTCCATCAGTTGGTTGTACATGTTGGTCGATATATAATGGTGATCGGTCCCGATAATTTAGTATAGACCTCCGTCTTTTCCACTGGTTAAAATCAAATTGAGGATTAATATTCTTCTCTGATTTATTCATAACATCGGATACTGGATGTTCAGCGGGAAGAAAAGTTGTACTAAATCTTTTTACAAATCTTGTTAGTTTTGAAGAAGGGACATCTGATTTATGGTCTACTTGTGGTGTCGGTTGATTTAGAGTTTCAGGACAGATGACAGGATTTAAGTTCTGATTGATATTTAAGTCAAGTTTAGCAGCTAGAACACGTTGTGGTGTTTGGCGTATAGATGTTAATCTCATTCGTGGTCTTGGTCTATTTGTTTTAAGTGGTCGTAAAGCATTCAATAATACCGGCGGTGAAGAATCCATTATTTTTTAAAATGTTTAATATAAAAGTAATTGTGCTTTAAACTGCATACAAGTTAATCGGATATGAAATTTATTCAACTAGACCGATTACCCTTTTAATATGCTTTCTAAACTAAAATAAACCAACCAATCAAATACCTAGGGATTTTTTATTGCTATTAACCAATCAGGATTCAGTAAAGCAAAAACATGTCCACGCGATAATTTTACTCGTGGTTATAAGATCAATCATAAACAACAACAATAGGTCAAAAATAGATTATTAAATATACTCATCTAATGAGCATAACATGAAATTTGATTTGTCAGCTTCATACTTTAGCAATTAGGTTTACGGTTTATTATTCTATATGTAATTATTTTTCCAATGATTAACTTTATCGTCAAAGCAAAGAATAAACTGATCTTCATAAAAGCTTCTAGCAGCAATGAGATGAACAAATAAATAAAAATTTTCTCAATATAATATAAATAAAATCTGTAAGGTCCCTAAGATTGTATTTATATATGTATAGGCGGCATTATTGAAAATCCCCATTTTTTAGGATAAATAAGTTTACATTTTTCGTTAAATTATTCATACTAAACTATGCATTAAATAAAGTAAGGATTTCTGAAATTATCTGGAATTATTTAGTAGAAGACAGAAAGAGGATATATCGATTTTCTATCAACTTACACAAACCTCCAAGACTTAGAATGAAATTTTTCGTTCCCACCCTTCTTTTCACGTTATTTTAAAGATAGTGACTATGACACCCTTATGAATAGACTTCATGCTTATCAAATGTCTACAGCTGTGTTTGATATTAGTTGGTAAGACCTATTCAGCAGTATGTCATATGCATAAGCTGCTTCCTGGTTGACACTCCTTAGTAAGACTCGTCTGTAATCAAGATGGAATCGATGAATCAAACGGGATTCACATCCGCGTTACTAAACTTCACGGTCAGAGAAGTCATTGTGATATACTCACCAAACTGCATGAAATTTACGCCTAAATAAAGACCCAAAACCATCACCCAAACATTTGGATGTGTACAAGACATTGAAATGAAATACCATTAATTATTTTTTTCTATGTATGTATTTAGAATATGAATCAATGAAGTGTATGAATTAGTGAACATACACATGTACATAGAAAATAGAAGAATAAGAAATTTATTTATGTAATTATTTCTATATTCACTCAAAAAGGTATCTGTTTTAATGGTAGTAATAATAATAATTAACTTGTCTTATAAATGTAATAAAAATGTCCAACTTCTAGTTTCCGGACACATTTATGAGCTTTTTCACGAGGTCAACTCATAAATGTGTGTGTATGTAAGACAGGAATATAGGAGAGATTCATACACATTTAAACGCATGGAATGTGAAAATGAGGTCATTCAATGATTTAACTTAATGCAGACAGAGATGAATGAGATGAATTTCAATGAATGAACTGCACCAACATCATTACTTTTGACAAGTAATTTTATGTGTTTTTAAAGAAAATTGATTTAATAACATTAAAAAGATCATAGACGAAATGGACATCGGAAATGAAAGACATAATAGAATATCTCTCTTGATCAAGCATCTATTTAGTTAAATTTACAGTAAATTAACTAATTAAGTAACATAAAGCTTACTTCATAAATTGAATAGAAAAAATGTGCTTCTTTTTTTATTAATGTGGACTTGTACGTGATAAAAAGCTGAAAACAATCTTAGTAATTAATGCTAATAATGATATTTATACAAGTTTGACGGTTTTATTTAGGAAAGAAAGATTGAAATACATTGAACTATTTAGTAAGTGTTTTTCTTAATGAGGTTTTAATTTGAAAGATTGTTCTAGTGAACCCAATATTTTTTGTTCATTACGATATTTAAATGATGAGAGAACTCGGTTGAAAAAAAATTAGAAATGAAGAGAAGAATTTAAAAAATTAGATGTTAATATTGTTGAGAGTAATATTAAGTAGAAAATGAATCTGAATTAAATCGCTTCCAGAATGTTAAACTCGTATTATGCTAAATAAATCATGTGACTGTTCAACAGTGCCCATCCACAACCACACTAGGAATCAAACAAAGGAACCTCAGATTCTGAGGTGTGTAGTTAATCTATAGATCACTGAGTCAATACCCACTTGTTTAAACGTTTAACTTCAATCAATCCACCACCACTACCATTGATGAGCAACTGCCTGAAATCAGATATGGACTGGATAAGTACTGATGAGTTGTATATTAAGGTAAAATAGCTGCTCAATGCTTTAATAGTGTAATATAAATTAACTGCGTTATCGTCCTGCACCTTCAAATATTAAACTTTGTTTAGTAACTTAAAATTAATCAACCATCAACTGGACAAAAAATCCATTATGTTTTAAGTCTGACAAGTACGAAATATCTATTTTTTCAAAGTCACTTTGAATTTTTTCTTTGTGAAGACTCAGAAAGTTTAAGTGGACTTTTCCAGAAAAATAGTTGAAATCTATAGAATTGTTATGTAGACATCTTTATTCAATAATAAAAATCTATACTATTAATTAATTAATTAGTTAATTAACGAATAATCAATTTATTTGAAAATTCCTATTAAATTTTCTAACAAAGAACTGTATTGATTTAATTCCTCCTTCTGTCTCTACGGTCATAAACTTGAAATATACTAAATTACATTTTTATAATCATTAGAAAAAGATACATACAATATGTGATTGAACTGATTCGTGTTATAAAAGAATCACTAAAGTTAAAAGGATAAATAAATGAATATATAGAATAATTCCAAAGTTATACGTAAAAGGTAATTTTATAAATGCCCACATGTGTGCGACGGCCGAATAGTAACTAAAATAAATGTTGTATATGATTTATTTGTAATCAAGTTATTTATAGAAAAATGATATGTTAATTCTTCACGAGCAAAAATTATGTTATATGACGTAATCAATTTGTAGAAATTCTGTGTCTCTAGGACATTTCGTAATAATAATACAGCCTAAACTTCTAAGCTTTCATAAATAATCATCTTGTTGAACTGAAGTACTAGGAGAGAAATTAAAGTCATCACTGGTGCATTACAATTTGACGACATGAATCAGTTGGTTATAGCTCCATGTAGGTTATTGTTACTTTTTCAAGTTACATAAATAGATTTCCAATAAAAAATGGTTCTAGCTAGGAACTATAAGTCCACACTTTATCTATTATTGATATGTAGGTTGTATCAGTCACAGATTAATCTCACATGGGATATCATCGAGAACCACAGAGCACTAAATAGCTGTTTCGTCCTAGTATGGGACTCCTCAGAGACGTACATTCAAGTATTCTGAGAAATACTTCACCATTAAAAGTATCGGTCGATATCTAAAGGTACAATTCTAAAGTAAATCAATCTATGATGTAGTATAATAACCATCCAATGCCATAAGTGACAATTCTTTCATTCCTGATACATCTAAACTCTATCAGTTATGATTTTTAACTAGAACTTCAGAAACATCTTGAAGTAAGTCACTATTAAGCTGATTATTGTACTATAACTATTATACATTTTAAAATAAATCTATTAATCAGTGTCTATCAATAATCATTTTAATGAGTGATAAAGTTATTTTCAATTGACTTATATCAGTAAAAATTATCCATCAGGAAAAATAAATATCATTACATAACAATAAATATGTTTATGCTTTTAATCAATTGCGTATTGATCTTGACATATTATAAATACTGTTAATAATATTGTCGTAAGAATAAGCATTAAAAGATCTTCAAATCAACCTGATTAATGTTCATATCTAATATGAATCCATTTTTTTGGGGTGGTGGAACATATTAACATTATAGTTAAAGAAACAAACTATACTAATGACTTGTTTATAATGATAAGTATATAGACAAATGAACATACTCAAGTATAATATGAATGATTACACATAGAAATCCATATCAATAAAATGTTTACATTATGTTTTTACAGTTCCGGTTAATTTAATTAATAAAATAAATATACAAAGTAAATAAACCACAATGCGGGTAATTTGTTTCATATAAATGAACACGAGTATTCAATGTGTGTCACTTGTGTATATATTGATTTGTATTACGGAATGAACAGACTTAATAGTATAGACATTCTATATGACGTAATAGTTAAGTGAGCTTTTTTTTAATATGACATTTGTTTAGATCATATCTCACACTTAAAAAATAAAAAAAAGGAAACATAAACATGAGTTATTATGAGTATTTGAATAGTCATCACTATAATTTCTGTTTAGTTTAATGTTTTTAATAAGTTTCATAATGATAAATAAAGTTCAATTTAGATGATGGTCAAATTTCATGAAAAACATTTTTTTTCCATGGTTATCTGTATTCTCTGTTAGATAAATTGAAAAATTTAACAGTTTAGGTGTTCTGGAGATTGTTAAATTATTAGGACGAAACGGCCGTCCAGTGATTCCAGGTTTTCCATGATGGTCTAGCTTCAAGTGACTCATGATTTCAATCAAAAACTTAACAATCTCCACAACACCTAAACTGATGGTTACCATGTGCTCACTAGTGACTAGCTTCGTGAGAAAATTCTCGGAGTTCTGGTGAGAAGCCGTGACTAGTGGAGCTAATCCTTGTCGGGCAGAAACAGGTGTCTACCTCAGTAGAATGGAAGATGGTCGCGCAATTTCGTGGATTGGTTGAGGTTAGACATTAACACCGTTGGATGCCGGCTCAGTGGTCTAATGGTTAAGCGCCTGGCATGAGACTGATAGGTCCTGGGTTTAGATCTCGCGGGGTGCGGGATCGTGGATGCGCACCGCTGAGGAGTCCCATACTAGGACGAAACGGCCGTCCAGTGCTTGCAGGCTTTCCATGGTGGTCTAGCTTCAAGTGACTCATGATTTTAATGAAAAATTTAACTTTAAACCATGTTTCTAATCTATTTCTATTACTGAATGTCAAGCAACTCTATGATAGAGAACAGCAGAAAAGTTAATCCAAGTGAATTTTATCCTGCTAGTTTCTTGTTTTAAATATTTAAATAATAATAATCGGCTGAAAATAGATGAGGTAATTGGGCAGTTTGTAATTGTATATTTAGTTGCCAATGAACCGATTTTAAGTCTATTCAGTTTTGAGACATGAAATTTTGGCTGTAAAGTTATTACAACTAAATACAAACAATCAAATTTTCAAATCCGTACTCAATGAACAAATTAAGTCTGTGGCTTTATTAAATAATATAATCGTTTAATTGATATTTCGGTCTACAACAAAACTGTAACACCAGGTTTTTATCCAGATGTAATTATTGACCGTTAAATAACAATTCAATTTACTCAATAAGGTCAACAACAACAACCATTCAATAAACTGGTAGTATTGAAGTAAAGTATATTGAAATTTACAATACACTTTCTTATTGTTTTCTCTTGTAATCTCGAAGTAGATTATTAACGTGATGATGAAGTTAAGCGATTCCATAAGTAAAACCTTAATGAATAGATGCTTTTAACTAGGAGAAACTGTATGGATGCCTTACAAGCAAAAATGGCGAAATTTGTTTTTATTAGGGTTCGTGTTGATCTGGTTCTGAGTCCTGAAAGTACATAAATGATCCGTCTATATTCAAATCACTTCCTACAATCTCTGCAAATCCCTCTATACTACCAATAACAATGTGCTCACTAGATAATGGATTCAAGTTGCAAGTTTTGAAGTTCTAGTAAGAAACCGTAACTAGCGGGGTTCAGTCATGTCGGGTGTGAAACAGTCATTCACCGCAAACAATGGACTGGGGTTGTGCGACTTCGTAAACTGATTGAAACTAGACATGTACACCACTGGATGCCGGCTTAGTGGTCTAGGGACCGCGTGCAACATCAGAGGTCAAGGGTTTGACTCTGTGATTGATGGTCGTGAATACTCACGCTGGGACGAGTTGTCCGTCTAGTGTTTTCGGGTTTTCAATGGTAGTCTAGGTAAGATCAATTTGTAATTTAAAACCTTGAAATTTATTGCGCAAATTTCTTAATCAGTCGTTGAGGTGTTTCATCACATGTTTACTAGATTACACCCTTTATGTTCCAGTATAAGGCTTTCTTTGACATTTGAGCTTGGAGGTGTTCGTATCTAGTTAATAGTGCATAGCGAATCACGCGCAAATGAGTTGGTTGACGTTTAATTTAGTTAAGTCATTTTGTTAACTTATTGACGAACTCAGTCATCTATACAACAACAACTTATCTATATCATTGTATCTTTATTATTGTTGCGAATGTATAAAACATGTATGCTTGAGCATTGCTTACTGCTCACGCATTTATTCACGCTGCTAGCCTTACTACTAACCGCTTAAGTGATTCGATGATTCAGTCATTTCACTATGTATATATATGTCCATGTTATTCATGTACATTACTCTCTCTCTCGCTTAATTGTACTTGCTTACTCGTACTCATATTCGCTGGCTCACTCACTCGCTCGCTCGCTTACCTGCTTGCCTTTCGGCACAACACTCTCATGCTTGTTTAACGCACCGTAATTTTGGATATCTGTGTGTGTGGTCCCATAACAAACATAATCAACACTTCGTATTCGCCTTCTGATTAATATACCATTGGGGCGTTATCTAGTGACGGTTATCAAGACGAACTGTATATGAAGTTCAAGGATTATATTGAATACCGACCACCACAAGTGTTTTAAAGTTAGTTAACGAAGAAACTGGAACATTAATTCCCCAGTGAACACTAAATTTTATTTCCACTGTATCAAGAAAATTCATAATGGCAAATTGTATTAAGGTGACTCTTACGGTAAAGCTATGCATAAACCATGGGATTCTTTAACACTGAATATTTTTTAAGATATGATATGAGACTGAACTCATGTTATTAAGATTTTGTGGAAAGCACCTCACTATCTCATTTTTAGTTTTTTTCCTTACTGATATAATCAATTTGTGACAAAAAACGCTCTTAAAATCAATAATTCTCTATAAACGGACTAAATAAACTATATTGTTTAACTGAACGATTGTGACTGATTGGTTACCATATTGAACCAAACAACATACCGTTCAATCGTAAAATAAAATTATGTACTATACTTTCGTTTGGTTTATATTAGATCATAATTCACTGAATATTTCACTTTGTCCTCAGTTTCGTTGTAGGCAGTAAGTTACAGTTGACCATCGTCAAGACTATATATTGAAATAAGTTCAGTAACGCCGATATCAGACTTACTTACAGTTCGAATATGTAAAATGTTATCCATTTAAAACTAATTATTAAATACATTTTTGACATTCGGAAAATGAGCTTTATAAATGGCTTTTATATTATAAATATACAACATACTACTCGTAGAAGAAGTAGTAGTATTTATGCTGGTACATCACTTAAAGTGAGATTTACATACTAA